AGAGGGAGGAGGGTCAGAGGGAGAAGCAGACTCCCTGCCAAGCAGGGAGCCCGATGCGGGACTCGATCCCGGGACTCCAGGATCATGACCCGAGCTGAAGGCAGTCGCCCAACCAACTGAGCCACCCAGGCGCCCTATGTCCATCTTTTTCAAGGGGCCAATACCTGGCATAAACTGGTCCAGTTCTATAGCCAAGGTCACACAGCTAGTAAGCACGACAGCTGGGATTTGGACAGTCTGGTTCTAAAGTCTATGCTCTTTTTTTTTTTTTTAAAGATTTTATTTATTTATTTGACAGAGACAGAGACAGTGAGAGCAGGAACACAGCAGGGGGAGTGGGAGAGGGAGAAGCAGGCTTCCCGCTGAGCAGGGAGCCCGATGTGGGGCTTGATCCCAAGACTCTGGGATCACAACCCGAGCCGAAGGCAGCCGCTTAACGACTGAGCCACCCAGGCGCCCCTAAAGTCTATGCTCTTAATCACTACGCTATGCTGCCTCTCCCTAACTGTTGGCAAGTTATATAGGTCATATGCAAGACCTGTGGAAGACCTGTGAAAAGGAAAAATCTGAATCTTAAATCTAGTTTCTCTGAATCTAGAAACGAGAGGGGAAAGGAAGGAAAAGGAAGAAAGCATCAAATTCATAAAAGCTAAAGTGGAAACCTGGAGCAGAATGTTGTAGATGATGGGAATATATATATATATATATAATATGTATATGTAAAATATATATATATATATAATATGTATATGTAAAATATATATATTTCTCCCTCCCTCCCAGCAGCCCCAAATAACCATGTAGCCATCTAATCATTTGGCAGTATAATCTTTTCCACTGATAGAAGAAAGATGACAAAAAGCAATACTAACTTTGCTTAGAACTGAATAATTGAGATGGATGTTGTGCCATAAATACTCAGCACTTGGAAAAGTTAGTTTTTTGGGGGGTGATTATCTTTTCCCCCAACCTGGAAATAAGTTTGAAGACACATTCTTGAAATGGACTTAAAAAAATTTTTTTTTTACAGTGGATTTTTTTTTTTTGTCTATATATGGATTCAGGCACATTTTTGGTAAACTTGATAAACAGTCAACAAGTTCATTTTGATCTTTAAAATGCTTTTCTCTGAAATTAGCTAAGGCTAGATGCAGCTATGCCTGAGTCCATTTTATTTAAACTGATCGGTCACAGTGACATTATTCTCTAACTTTAATGTGGAAAGTTGAGAATTCTAAGCCTAACTGACTTTCTAAGTGCTTTGAAATTTAAGTAACATTTTACCTGTTCATATCATCAAGATGCTCAGCAGCAAAATAAAAGCTTTTGATTTTAGGATGACAGGCTTTGAATGCACTGCAAAAGGAAACAAAGTACACTTATTTTATTTCAAATTGGGAAACAAGTTAGAACCAAATAATTTTTATGGGTAAAATTACCTCAACATCTAACCTGAGTTCATATATATAATGCTTCTGCCATGATGACAGAAATCACTAAAAGATTCAATTTTCTGCCCACAAAACTGCTTTCTTATTATCTCAATTTGAAAGCATTAGACAAGCAACCTATAATTTAAAAGCTAGAAATTAAAAAAAAAAACTTCCTTTCTCTCCCTCTCCCCAGATAAAATCAACTTACTATTTCTTGCGGCATTCACTGGCTCTATCAATTTTAAATTCAGGCAGACTGATGAATCCTTCTGCTTTTTCATCCTGAAGAGGCAACAGTCTTATTTAGGGTATTATACACAAAGGGTTGAAGCTGATAATACTATATAACTATGCCTTAAAAATTTATATAATAAATCTTTTCATTTAATTTCTTAAATTTGACATTTTAGAGATTAGAGTTCCACTCTTATTTGTTACATTCCATTAAACTGAAGATATACTTTGAACATTTAGAGTACTACAAATTAAGATATACACAGAAATTTTGAAAACTCCTTATATTAGAATGAAGATAGAAAATTCTTTAAATTGTCAAAGTGAAACATGTTTTATAAGTAATTTTCTCACCAGAATGTACATATACTTCCATAACATATAAAATAGCTTCAGTCCACATTCACCATTCAAAATTTTCTATAATTTTTAATGTTCAGATGTAAAATACATTGAAGTTTACTAATTCAATTCCTTTTCTGCCTCCAAAAAAGTCTTTCATCAAACCTGAATTAAATATGCTGTGTGATGAAAAAATGTTCATCATCATTAGCCATCAGGGATATTCAAACCAAAACCACATTGAGATACCACCTTACACCAGTTAGAATGGCAGAAATTGACAGGGCAAGAAACAACAAATGTTGGAGAGGTTGTGGAGAAAGGGGAACCCTCTT